CATTGACGCACTCATGACGAACGAAGAAGGATACAACAAACTCATTGAAATGGGAATGGTCGGTGAAAAGATGGGCTGTTTAAGCTAGATAAGGTATTTTCCGAAGTTCATGTCCTCTCCAAGCGTAAGTACTGGGGCATACTTGAAGACGGCACAGAAATAAAACATTGCATGAAGTAAAAACGTTTTTCCAAAAAGTGACATTTTTTAAATTTTATTTGAACTGTACGCTGAGTTTGTTGGAGAAGACCGTTGGGAAACTTGTTTGTTAGATGAGAAATATGAAATGGCATACCATTTTAAAACAGTATATTTTTACATATATTAAATGCTTCAGGTTGAAAAACAAAGAACAAAAGTAGCAGATACAAAACCGTTAGACTATATCTTTACAAATGCTGGTAGGAATATTTCAGATGAAGAAATTTCATCCGGAGCTTACAGGTTTGACTATCCAATTCGTTGGCTTCAAAGTCCTTCAGATGCAAAGGCAATAGGATTTAGAAGAGTTTTGTTTTCAAATAGAACTAACGCGTTTATGTTCGCAGTATATTTTCATGGGCAGTATAAAGGTTCTGATGGTCTAATAGAAAAATTTGACGAAATGAAAATCTTTACAATTCGTTCAGACGAAAGTCTTGAAAAAACTCTAAATGACTTTCAAACTCAAATGAACAAATACTACTGGGAATTTCAAGAAAAATACGACTCTTTACTAAATGGAACATACTATCTGAAACTAGAATATGACAAGATGAACTCCACCGTTTCATTTCAAAAGATTGAAATTAACCCTCCAAGAGATACAGAGTTTTTATATTGGGGAGTAGACAAACGTTCTTGGGCACAATTTCTTCGGTTACTAAACCAGAACGAACCATTGCCACCAGATGGTCCATTTAAATTTATACTTCCACCAGCAGATTTGACAGTTTATAGAAACGTGTTTGACCCTCAAAATGTCATGTGTCATGCAAGTTTCAGTTCAAGCAACAACAGTTTTCTATGTATAGGTAAGGACTTTTATGACTTTGCTTCTAAATTCTACGAACCACCTAGTAACAGTTTCTCTGACTTTCAAGTTTGGTTCACAACAAACGGTGTGCAACATATAATACCATTGTACTATGACTTTTATCTCGAATTGTCTTTCATATACAACTACGGAAAAGTGCTGAAAAAGTATTGAATTTTGTATAAAAAGCAACCGCCGGAAAACAGCGGGTTGGTATATTCTTCACAAAATGCTTGTTTTGAGGTCGAGCCACTTTTGGCTCCACCTCTTTTTTCAACCAAAACTCATTTTTTCGGCAAAAATATATTTTAGGTGTCACTCGGTCCCTCGGTCCCTCGGTCCCTCGGTCAACTAACATCTTTTTGAAAATGGTGACAACATGACATTTTGACAACAACACAGGAAATAAACTTCTTCGTATATGTTTTGTCATGATTTCATCGTAAATCAGCAAAAATATATTTTAGGTGTCACTCGGTCCCTCGGTCCCTCGGTCAACTAACATCTTTTTGAAAATGGTGACAACATGACATTTTGACAACAACACAGGAAATAGACTTCATCGTATATGTTTTGTCAAAACTTCTTCGTATATGTTTTGTTAAGACTTCATCGTAATGAGCGTAAATCAGGCAAAAATATAGTTTAGGTGAAGTGGTGAGATTTCACCTCTTTTTTCACCTCTTTTCTCACCCGTTGAATTTTCATGAATTTCCTTAAGATAAAAAATATATTTTAGTTTTTTAAAAAAATATTTTTTTATTTTTATTGTAAAGAACATGTTAGCAACAACTTCACCAAACTCGTTAGTCATGAACCCAACTTCAATGTTAGTAGAGATGAAAAGCTTCATTCCTTCTTCATATACTTTCGAAACAGAAATCCAGAAGATAAAGCAGGAACTTCTCCAAGGAGATTTAGATTGCACTGCAAAAGATGAAGAAAATGAAGAATATCTTTATGAAATGCAGGATATTATTGACCATCTACCTAAACTTCCTGAAATCCAACAACAAAAGCTCACTATTCCTGAATTTGAAGAAATTGAAGTCAGACCAACTGACTCAGTAGAAATAAAGAAGTTCATACGTAAGGTTAACTATGAGTTTCTTGGATTTCATTGCAACCACAAAGACTGCGATATGGTATATTTCATTGACATATATAAATCTGAAGAATTTAAGACCTACGACAACTTTGTTTCGTTAGTTGCAAAATGTGTATGGCAGATAAGAGATAAAGATAGAAGAGGTAAAGTATGGAACGGACAAATAAAACCAGCAGCCTTTGAGTTAAAGAAAACCATTTACGCTATAGTTGTACTTGCAGGACAAATTTCAATGTACAATGCTAAAATGAACCCACAATGTTCAAAATGTAAAGCAGCAATGAGGAAATATAACTACTCCGTCAAAGAGATAGAACGTATGCGAAACGACTATGCTGACTTAAAGAAAGAAGCAGAGAAGCCGGTAGAAGATAAAATAGACATGTTGACATTTCTAAACAAAAACTATCCAACTGCTGACGATTTCCTTCTATCTGACGTCAAGAAGAAATATAAAGAAACATTCGGCATTGTTAAAACTTTTGACATACTGACAGAAGAAATAGAAGCTACAAAAATGTTTAGGATTTCACGAATTCACAATGTTTACCATGTAAAACGCTTATAAAACGCTTGTGAAAAAGAGGTGAAAAAAGAGGTGAAAAAAGAGGTGAGATCTCACCTCTTCACCTAAAATATATTTTTGGGTCATTTTACACTCATTGACGATGAAGTTTTGACAAAACATATACGATGAAGTCTTGACAAAACATTTACGAAGAAGTTTATTTCCTGTGTTGTTGTCAAAATGTCATGTTGTCACTATTTTCAAAAAGATGTTAGTTGACCGAGTGACCGAGTGACCTGGTGACACCTAAAATATATTTTTGCCGAAAAAAATGACCAAATTTCATGATATAACTGTATTTTTTTGACGAAGAGAACTTTTACACTTCGTAAAAAAAATCCCTGAAATCATGAAAAAATGACCAAATTTCATGATATAACTGTATTTTTTTGACGAAGAGAACTTTTACACTTCGTAAAAAAAATCCCTGAAATCATGAAAAAATGACCAAATTTCATGATATAACTGTATTTTTTGACGAAGTGAACTTTTACTCTTCGTAAAAAAAATCCCTGAAATCATGACAAAACATTGACGAAGAAGTTTATTTCCTGTGTTGTTGTCAAAATGTCATGTTGTCACTATTTTCAAAAAGATGTTAGTTGACCGAGTGACCGAGTGACCTGGTGACACCTAAAATATATTTTTGCTGAAAAAATGACCAAATTTCATGAATTTCCTCATATGTTTGCTACCCTCGAAAAACCGAGGATAGAGATTCCGTACGAAAATCGTAAAAAACTCTATGAAAACAGTGAAAAAATGCGACCCTAGGAAAATCGAGGGTCGAGATTCCGTACGAAAATCGCAAGAATTTGCGACCCCGACTTTTTTCGGGGTCGCCAAAACTCATGAAAATCGTGAAAAATTGCGAGTAAGTAAAAAAACGTAGTCGCCTAAAACACATGAAAATCGTAAAAAAAACTCATGAAAATCGTGAAAAAATGCGAGCAGGTAAAAAAACCCAGTCGCCTAAAACTCATGAAAATCGTGAAAAAATGACCAAATTTCATGATATAACTGTATTTTTTTGACGAAGAGAACTTTGACACTTCGTCAAAAAAATCCCTGAAATCATATCTTTTATACAAAATAAAAAAAAAGTTAGTTTTATTTTTTTTTATTTTTTTATTTTGTATGTAAGAACAGAAAATGACAAACATTGAGTTTGAAACAGTTAAAAAGATAGACAATGACACCAAAGTAGTTAGAATTGGTGATTTAAACGTAAGATACTCAAAGAAATACAACAAATATTCTTTGTCAGACATTCTAACACTATCTGGAAAGAGAGCAAAGGACTGGGTTAGAAATGCTTCAACTCAGAAAATTTTGACAAGAAATCCTGAGCTTTTGATATCGGTAAGATTCTATGGAACTACAGCATATCTTATAGACAAAAGTCTTATACCAGTAGTTTTTTATGGTTAGACCCAGTTGTTGATATAACTTCATAACATATGGTTCATTCGATACGGAACGTTGCAGTGAAGGCTTACTTTACATCGTTCAGAAACCGAAGGACTTCAATACAAAAAGATATAAGATAGGAAGAACATATAATATAACTAAAAGATATGACAGTATAGTCAATAGAGTCAGGTTGTGTTTGTAAATGATATGAGAGCTGCTGAAACAGAACTACTTGAAAAGTTTGAGAAAATGTTATGGTGCTCCCACGAAAGGTAAAGAAACGTTTGAAGTAGATGAGAGATAGATAGTGCTATAAAATTATTTGACGAAGTTGCTGAAAAATACATGTAAAGCGTTTATTTTTCAAGCTTGACTTCAGATGGCTCAGGTAGCTCTATAAGGTAAATTGTCTTGTCAAATCCTTCTGGCATTCCGAGTCCTTCCTTCTGGCATTCCGAGTCCTTCCTTCCGACATTCCGAGTCCTTCCTTCCGACATTCCGAGTCCTTCCTTCCGACAGGAAAAGTCCTTCCTTCCGACAGGAAAAGTCCTTCCTTCCGACAGGAAAAAAATTTCCTGACAACTGGAAAAAAATTTCCTGTTGTTCGTCCGTAAACCATTCAAATTTTCGAAAATTGAGAACTTTTTGGTCGAACTTCAGAAAAAGTTTTTCCTTCCGACAGAAAAAGTTTTTCCTTCCGACAGGAAAAAAATTTCTTGACAACTGGAAGAACTCTTCCTTCCGACAGGAAAAAAATTTCTTGACAACTGGAAGAACTCTTCCTTCCGACAGGACACAAACGAATGTCCGACGTACCACCAACCGAGTCCATTCCAAAGCCAGAAGAACCGACAGCCCCAGCACCACAACAGACTAAGACTAAACACTTACATTTTTCAAGCTTGACTTTTTACAATTTGAACTTTGTTTGCGTAGATATGAATTCTGAAAGAAGTATGAGGGTCTTGTATGACTTTGTACTTCTCCCATAGTTCATGTCTGTCAAACTTACCTGCCATGGACTCTTTCATAAGTTCCATGAAATCGTCTTCGGACAATCCGGGGAAAAGTATAATATCAGTAAGTATTCTCTTTACATCCTTACTTAAACTCTTGGCTGTCTGTACACAAATGACAACTGAAATGTTAAAGTGTCTGAGCTTCTTAAGAATTCGACACATGTCTTGTTCTCTATTCTTTAACAAAGGATGAGAAGCAAAGTCATCTAAGATAAGAAGACATCTGTGAGGGTAAGTCTTCCAATCGTAAGATTGCAATTTCTTCGAAATGTATTCTATCTCTTTCTGTTTGTTTCTGAAGTGTTTCTTCTCTAATATTCTCTGCATTTCCTCATTTGGGTCTTTAAACTTCGAATTGACATACTCATTTATAGCATTGTACTTCAAAACTCTTCTTTGGTACTTCTTTATCCAATCTAACAACTCAGAGTCTTTTATACATACTAACTTAGACTTCTTTATAATATCTTTGAACGAATTGACGGTTTGGTCAAATTGACCCGAAGTACTACAAATGACTACTAACTCATAGAATGGGTTCTTCTCATCTAGTTCTTGTTGTTGTGCAGCCATTTTAAGATAAGTGAAAGTCTTACCCGACCCAGGTGGTGCAATTAGACCTGTTATACCATTCTGAGCAAATAGGAACTTGTCATGTATGGGTTTTATCTGAGCATTTTCTAACTTCCTCTTGTTCTTATTTAAAACATTCTCAAATTTCTTGTCAATGTCAGCAAACTTTTTTTCTAACATATTTTTAGAAAAATTAAAATTTTATCTTTTAGAAAATGTCTAGCGATTTCGCTATCTATATTCGAGACAAGCTTTTCGACAGCAAAACATCTGTCGACCATAAAATCTTACATAGTGTAAACAAGAAAGGTGAATTTGTTCTAAAGTTCTGTTTCTGGGAATATGACAAGAACCATAAAACATTAAGCAGAGCAGTCTTAAAATTTGTCAATGACAGACTTGTTGACAGAGATGACGCCTCTTGGAGAGATGAAGTCCAACAAAACTTCTTAGAATGCAAAGAAGACACATGCGCTGTTCTTGAAAATGAAATAGAAAACAGAATAGAAGAGCTATTAAATGACAAAGCACTTTTACAAAAATATGGTTCTGAGAAGTTTGATATAACTCCACCAGAGAAGAAGAAGAGAGAAAAGAAAGAAAAGAAAGTAGAAGAAGAGAAGAAAGAACCAGAGCCAGAGAAAAAGAAATTTGACATGTAAAAATAAAATTTTATTTTTAGAACATTTCTGGGTCAATGTCAATGTTCTCTTCCTCTTTAGGAGCAAACACTGGCTTAGACTCTAAAATCTTTTTACCCAATTTACCTTGAACTTCTACAAACTTTAGACTCATAATATTCATAGTCGTCTGCTTTCTTTGGTTCATAAGTATAACAAGTTTGTATGCTTTGCCTTCTTAAGGTTTGAGAACCTTCTGTCAAACTTTCTTTGACTGTTAACAAACCTTCTATGTCTAAGTCTTCAATTTCGCACCATTTTTAGTCACAATAGCAAACTTAACTGGTTCGATGTTCCAAACTTTGTCAAATGAAGACTTTTCAAAATGGTAGAAGTTAAACATTCAAATATGTGAATGGGTCTAGTTCTTCTTTAAGTCCTGACATGTACTTGTTTACTGAGATGAATTTCGTCATCTTTTCTATCGGATAAAAAAATATTTTTTTTTAAAATTTACTCAGAAAAATTTTTCTTTGTATATACACCTTTCTGTACATCTAAAAGACTTTTGACATTTGCCAAGAATGTTCGTTTAGACGCTGTCATATAACCATACTCTTGACAATATTGTTTATATGAATCGTACAATGACCTTTCATCTAAACTGTTGTGCATGAAAATTCGGTTCACTTCACTTCTGACAAAAGTGACAAGTTTACATGGCAAAAATAGTTTACATGGCAAAAATATATAGGGTATTTTTTTTAAAAGTAGTTATCTTTATATATAAAAATAAAACTTTTGATATATTTGAGTAAATGATTTATTAATTTATTTATTTATTTTTTTTAAATCAAATCATATAAATATATATATATATATAATAGTGAAATAGAACAAGAGATAATTATTGATGATTAAATTGTAGACGAGGATAAAAGTTTAGATAAATTAATAAAATTAGTGTGGAATCAGACAAATTTCGGGTTGTTTGGGAAGGAATTGTTGGCTATGATGTACTGATTCATGATCAGTACATCATAGCCAACAATTCCTTATACAAAGTTCAAAAACTTGGGTGCAATCAGTTCTGATTGCACCCAAGTTTTTGAACTTTCTCGAGGGAATGGAAGGGTAAGAGGTATACATTATGAATATATACCTCTTACCTTCCATTCCTCTCTGACAGCGGGAAACTTTGTCTGAATGTTAAACTATTCAGACAAAGTTTCCCGCTGTTTGCGAAGGAATTGTTGGCTATGATGTACTGATTCATGATCAGTACATCATAGCCAACAATTCCTTATACAAGTTCAAAAAATTGGGTGCAATCAGTTCTGATTGCACCCAAGTTTTTGAACTTTCTCGAGGGAATGGAAGGGTAAGAGGTATACATTATGAATATATACCTCTTACCCTTCCATTCCCTCTGACAGCGGGAAACTTTGTCTGAATGTTAAACTATTCAGACAAAGTTTCCCGCTGTTTGCGAAGGAATTGTTGGCTATGATGTACTGATTCATGATCAGTACATATAGCCAACAATTCCTTATACAAAGTTCAAAAACTTGGGTGCAATCAGTTCTGATTGCACCCAAGTTTTTGAACTTTCTCGAGGGAATGGAAGGGTAAGAGGTATACATTATGAATATATACCTCTTACCCTTCCATTCCCTCTCTGACAGCGGAAACTTTGTCTGAATGTTAAACTATTCAGACAAAGTTTCCCGCTGTTTGCGAAGGAATTGTTGGCTATGATGTACTGATTCATGATCAGTACATCATAGCCAACAATTCCTTATACAAAGTTCAAAAACTTGGTGTGCAATCAGTTCTGATTGCACCCAAGTTTTTGAACTTTCTCGAGGGAATGGAAGGGTAAGAGGTATACATTTGAAATATATACCTCTTACCCTTCCATTCCCTCTCTGACAGCGGAAACTTTGTCTGAATGTTAAACTATTCAGACAAAGTTTCCCGCTGTTTGCGAAGGAATTGTTGGCTATGATGTACTGATTCATGATCAGTACATCATAGCCAACAATTCCTTATACAAAGTTCAAAAACTGGGTGCAATCAGTCTGATTGCACCAAGTTTTTGAACTTTCTCGAGGGAATGGAAGGGTAAGAGGTATACATTATGAATATATACCTCTTACCCTTCCATTCCCTCTCTGACAGCGGGAAACTTTGTCTGAATGTTAAACTATTCAGACAAAGTTTCCCGCTGTTTGCGAAGGAATTGTTGGCTATGATGTACTGATTCATGATCAGTACATCATAGCCAACAATTCCTTATACAAAGTTCAAAAACTTGGGTGCAATCAGAACTGATTGCACCCATTTTTGAACTTTCTCGAGGGAATGAAAGGGTAAGAATTATACATTAGACACAATCACTGGCTCATATGCTCCTATTCTGAATCTAACACTATGCAAATTTATACAATTTCTCCACAAATCTTACATTCATTTTAATTTCAACGACCATTATTACCACAAAGAATCTTACCTTCCCCTACAAAATCTAACTATCTATCAATTTAAAAAATGTTACAAAATATTAAATGAATTTTTTTTCTATACGTAATTTAAAGTTCTTAAACTCTCAGCATCAGAATATCCTTACATAGCTTAGCTATATATCGTATTTTTATGAATAAAAAAATTATTTAATATTATAATAAATGTTTATTCGTATTTTTACTTTATTTTTAGTTACGAGGCTGTATTTCGAACTCAGGATTTGGGTTTAAGTCCTTTGTCCATTTAGGACCCTGGTCCCAAATTGATTTTGGAGTAGGTTTTCCACCGAAAAGGAGATATAAAAATTGCTCACACATTTTGCTCACATTTTGGCACTTTTTGTAACGTTTGTCACAAAAATAGTCAAAATGTCAAAATGTGAGCAAATTTTGAGAAGTGCTCACATTTTGACATACGATTATTTTCATACGTTTTTTTGATGAATTCTAATAAAACTTCATTATCACTTTCAGAACGAAGCGTAACTTTTCAGCACGTAACGCTCTATCATGTGTAGTGACATATTATTCAAAAAAACTCAGATTGCTTATCTTATAATAACAATTTCATTAGAAAAAATGCACGATTTCACGCTAAAACTTTGAAGCAATTCTTAAATTCGGATAAAAAATCGATATGTATTACACTTTAAACTTCAAAAAATGGTTCAAAATTTAGACTTAGTTTATCTTAACAATATAGCAGATTTTAAGCCGAACAAGTAGGAGTAATAGAAATAGCTCTTGAAAATAATTACAATTAGTAATATGTAAGTCAAAGTTCGAGTATTCTAATAAATAAACGTTCCGGATTTTCTTTACTACAAGAATCAATACTTAATATATAGAAGCAACAGTAAAAACTTATTAGAGATTCAAAAAGAAAGTTGACTAAAGAGAATCTTTTTATATAAGTAATTTTATTTTTTTGAAATACGAGATCGAATAAACATGTATTTTATTTTATTACTATAATAATACGTTTTTACATAGTAAGAAAGTTTAGAGACTGAAATGAAATTAAAAATTGAGAAAAAAATAAAGCTTTTCTATAAAAATTCATATTAATATATAGTATAATGATATTACAATTTATTGATAGTTGTGTTAGAAAAAAGGTACATTCACTATTTTTGACAAAATTTTAAATTTTCATGGGGTTGTAAATCTTATAATAACTAGATGAATAAGGAATAAATCCCAGTATGATGTGCATCATTATATTAAACACTATATGTAAGGCTGGTGATTCTATTAACACTTATGAAGATCTATAGTATTTGAGCAGATAAATTTGATAATTTCCAAAACTCTTATATTTCAAAATTAAAGTGTGCGAATGCATTTAAATGAGAGCAAAAAGAGATTGATGCTGTTAAAACTATGTGTTAATTTGCAATTATTTCGCATCACAAGAACTACCCAGTAAATTCGGCTATCTTTCTTTGCAATTATTCTCCATTATACATATAATATAATGGTTAGGGTTTGAAGAAAAGTTACTAGAGAATTATTGACTTTTGAAATAATGCAGAATTTTACTTGAAGAAATCATTAATTTATGAGTTCCAAATTGCTAAGCATGACGAAGGATCATTAAATTTGCTAC